AATTTTATATTTTATTGCTCTCTCCCATTTTTCATAGTAGTATACTACTTATATCAATTGCAGACCATTTGCATTAACAGTAATGATATATACTTAACAGGTATGTCTTCACTCGTAAAATGGATGGAAAAAAAAATCCATAGGAAAAATTCAACTTTTTCTTTGTTCGGAGTTGACGAGACCAATACTTTTCTTCAGTCAGAACAAAACAAAGTTAAGCTGGAATCAACAAAACTAATTACTGGTCATGCCAGTAACGTTTGGAATCGACCCATCCATACAGTATAAATTAATTTTTGAATAAAACCTAAAATGTTATAACAATATTGTAATAACCTAACTCCCATCCCGTATGATCAGTGTCTTCCACATTTCGCAGCCATTATATTGTTTGGTTAATAAATGTTAAAAAATTCTCTTGCTTACAGTATGCAGGTTCGATTTTTAGTTTTTGAGATATTTTAATCCAAATGCAAAAACACTTTAATTAGTCGTCTTTATCCCAAGCGTTACCCATCGGAAATCTGACGGCTCAATGTAATTCATTCTCCTCAAAAAAAGTGCAAAACGTGCCTAAAGAAGTTCAGACTTCAAAAGAAACCGCACTTAAGCGAGAACATTCCAACGATGAATGGTCTTTCTTTGTTGTCATATCGTCAGAACTAAAAATAGCTTAGTAACTCTTATGATTTCGGTAGATTTTAAAAGAGAGGTCTTTATTTTTTAAAGGAAGCCGAAACTAGGGCAATAATCAATAATCTTTGTACTGGACGACAAATTTCAAATGAAATTTTAATTTTAGGTTAAATAAAATATATTTTTTTATTTTATTGTTTTGAGTTTGATTCAGTGAATAACAGAAGTTTATATCTTGATACTTATTTATTTCAAAATATATACTGACTAAAATTAGGGTTGCCAGGATTTTTTTATTTATTTATTTAGAAAAATAATAATCTGTCACATGGACAATAATTATAGTGAGACGTGAACACGAATTCACAAAAGTAAAATGATAACTAAATAATAATCAAAAACTAAGTACAATAATAAAATAAAATAACCTAATGATAGGTAAATCAAAAATATAAAAACAGTAATAACTATGTACAATCAGGCAGGGAACTCCCAGCTAGACTTGTCCCTCCAACTATAGAGGGAAAAGCAGGACTCCAAGTGTTCCCTGCGCTACTCTGTCAACCGCGTCACTGGTGCTAAAGCCAGTGGAGATTGAGCACTTCTAGTCTCTTAGATCAACTAGACCTTCGTGCAGAGTGTGTGATGTGATGTTAGTTTATATCAGAAACAAAGTATCGCAACCTCGTATCATTAAATCTAGATTAAATTAAAATAAGTTGAAGTATTACATTAGCTGCTGACGAAAGTAGGGTTACTGGTAACCAACGTTGGACAGCCCACGCCTTTATAAATGATTTTAAATCGTAATTTATCTTTGAATTTAAAGTACACGAGTACTTATGAAAATGAACTCTAATGGGGGAAACCAAAACAGATATGTGGCTTCCTTTTTTCGCTAAGTGGCGAATATGTCTCTGGAATTGCCCCTCATGAATGCTTATCTTCCCCAGTGGTACGAGATAACAATAGTCACTTGAGCGTGATTTTTAGTGAAGAGTGTACAAATATTATGGAACTACGTAGAACGTAAAGGACATTTACGCATGATGACATCATCACTGTTTCAGGAAGAACATAGATAAAATTACTATGTGTCTAAAATAAAACTTTTAGGGAAACAATGACGCATCAATTCATTTAAATTAATTAAAAAGAAATTATTTTAAAAAATCCATGAATGTTATAAGTAGGCAGGGTTGTCAAATTGGGATTTTCTTCTAGATTTAATTTTTACTTTCACTTACCTATATATGCAATATATAGTAACGGTAAGTATTGCGATCGTGAAAATGTTCGAGTCTAAGTTTTCAATGGAAATACATGTTTTGAGGTCTCCTGAGTCCAAATAATTAAGTCCCACAAAATGTTCTCTCTCTGTGTGTGTGTGTATCAGTCTAGTTCGAAAACGAAAAATTGTATGGAAGTGAAACTGCATATTTAAGGTTTTTATAACCTTCGATGTTATTGCAATTTTTTCGGCAAACCGGAAGAGATACTTTATATAATCGATTTAACACATTTTTACGATTTTCTCAGGCACTAACGATTTTGATTAAACTCAGTATATCAGTTAAGCAACCAACCAATTATTAAGCAATTTTAATATAATGTAGGATTTATTCTCATTGATGTTCTCTATCAGAGCTTAAATGGATAATTTTCAATATTGGCTTCCTCCAAAGTACTTTTATTTATTTTTTTATTTGAAATAATTAACCATTTCACAATAATATTTGATATAAGAAATAGTTAAATATAATATATGAAAGAATATTATAATTAACTAAAGAAGAATTAAGAGCTCGTACGGATAATAGCTGTAACAGAGGAATACGAGGTTGCCCGAGCTAACCCGAAAGATTACAACAGCTTCATATAATATGGACTCAGACAGTATTATGTTCATGTACATAAGCGCTTTCCATAAATGCTATCGTTTGTGTTGTTTAATATTTAATTTATAGAATACAGCGATATAAAAATTAAAACTTGTTTATACAAGGGTATTTAAACAAATAAAAATACCCGCAATGAATTGTAAATAAATATTGCGTCAATACATTTTACATTCACTTCCCCTTTGCCTGAAAATACTTATTTCTGCTAAGAAGAGGGTGGTAAGTGAAAGTCGTGTGATGTGCGAACCAGATTTTTCTTCATAGCCCATAAGGGCGTATTTATATCAAATTTATTAATATCCGCCTAAAACTTCGTGAATAGCTTCATATCATCGTAAAATACAAATATTTTTTTACAAAATTTCTTGTAATTGGGACGTTTTCAATCTGGAGATCGGCAAATTTTGTCTATTTAATTAGGTGCTAGAAATTAATGAATACTCATTTGCTTTCCACTGGAAGCGTAATATTATCACAAAATCGAAAAAAAAAAAAAAGGTGGCCTACAAAAATATTGGGCGTTTGACGTGACCTCCAACCACAAATTGTCAAAATAACGAGGTTATATAGGCCAAACTACCAAATATTTTTGTAGGCCACCTTTTTTTTCCATATCTTACGCTTAAGTGAAAAGAAAATGTTCATGGATTTTTAGTATCTAATTAAATTGAAAAAGATTGATGAATTCCAGATTGCCAACAAACGCCCCTATTTCGAGAATTTTCATCAATAAACTATTTTTAGGTTACTATGAGATGAAGCTATTTACGTAGATTTAGTCGGATGTTAATAATTTTATAAAAATATATCTGTGCCACGGACTATATAAATAACATAACTTTTCTTCATTAGTAATATATAATAAGAGAAGTATGTACATCGAAGTAAGTATATATTTTTTTTAATAGTCATTTATATGATTATATGATGCAAAATATACATCTCTCGCTTATTTCATCATTGTTATAAACTCGTAATTAAATTAATAGTGTAGTATTTATAGCGATGTTATATTGTAAAAGTCAAGTACTAATTTCATAAGCATTTACTTTTCTTGGCTATGTTCCATAATTTTAAGCAACAATGTAAAAATTGAAATGCTGGCAGTGAAATGCCATTTCATCACAGTCAATACACAGCTGCTTCCAAGGTCACGAGGAATAACATCACATGTATTTATTCATTAGTTTCTCTCTTATAGAATCCTTGGCTAGGTTCCGACAGCCATTTTTATTCACTGTTTTGGTAAATATTTTATATTATTTAATAATTGTAACGCCAATTAACGTTTCATATAGATAATATATATTTTGGCAACTATTAAATAGTTATGGGATCCATTTATTTATTAAATAATAATTAAGCGTAAACAACAATTATATACATATACATTTAATTCTTGGTCAAAGAACATCAAGGGATAAGCTCAACAGTTATATTTACAAACTTTGAATATAAATATATCTTTTCTGTACTCACAAAAATCCTAAATATATAGCAATAGCATTATTATAACAAACAATACTTAATGTAACAATATCAACTAAAATGTTGTCCTTTAATTATATATATATATATGCACATAAATTATATATGATATCAACTCATATTGTGTATACTGTTAAAAGAAATTTAATTTAGACGAGATCTTTTTTTTTTAATTGATTAACTTCATTAAACATTTAATTATTACTATTTGAATGATAAAATAATTTTCAATAAGGATAGAACTACCTATCACAAAATTAGTACGATTTTCTCTAAAAGCATTAAGGTTAAGAGCATAGTCAAAATTTTCTGTGATAGCTCTGATGTCCAAAACTAGCTGTCGAAATATATTATTATTAAAAAAAATATTGTTTGTTAATATTTGTTTAATTGTAAATAATTATGAGATGGGTACATAGTTGACTTTTTTAGGAAATAGTCAGGATATGCAGTTAATGGTCGTGTTTATTTAATTTCACGAAGTAAACAATTTTCTTTTGTAATGTTTTTTCAAATTTAATTAAAAAGAAAATATTATTCTCTAAAAAAATTATTGATCGTTTTTTTTTTATTTTGAAACAGGCTTACCAGTAGTGAATTCAGAGTTTAATTTTTTTTTCTTTTGATATAATCTTAGTTACTTTGAAAGAGAAAGAAACTTCAGCTCAAATAGCCTTCATACTTCGCACTCTATTGTATTTCTAAATATAATATAAATTTATTTACCGAACAGCCATGTAACATTTAAGAAAATGAACTTAACTGGTTTTGGACCCGAACTCCTTCGATAATATAATCGAAGTATCTACAGCTAGGATATTAATGAAGCGGTGACGTTATGTGAAGAGGCAGCTGGACGGGCCGCAGGGAGGAAGAGAGATAGCTGTTGGAGGACGCGATGGTGGGGGGTGCGCAATGCCGATGCGCAGCGCTCTCTCCCCGCCCCCCCTTAGAGTGGCAGCGCCAGTTCTATAGGGAGCATTGTCTGAGTAAGGTCTCTCTCTCACTCTGTACCTTCTTGTAGTGCGATATGGGTGAACGGTGATAGGAGTGACACTCAGTTATATTCTGTTTACTGTGTGTGTTTTTTTGTACATGGTGAAAATGTCTGTTATGCAAATGGGTAAGCGGCAGCACTGTTACCTCTGCGATGTGCCCCGTATGCCCTGGGCGATGCTCCACGACTTCAGCGAAGTAGTGTGTCGCGGGTGCGTCAACTACGAAGGAGCCGACCGGATCGAGCTGGTGTTAGAAACGGCAAGGCAGATGAAGCGTGCGCATGGCTTTCAGGAAAACAGGTCCTCGACTTCTACGAGCCAACACCACCACGGTGGCACCAAGCCCTCGGCCCTCCACACCAGAGGCGGCAGCGGGCACGACGCGGCGACGGCACACCAGAACGGAGTGCTAGAGATACCTCCGGCAGCCCACACCCGTCAAGGCACGAGCTACAGCATCCATCATCGATCTGGCTTGTTGGCGGAGTACGCTGCACCCTTGCCACCTAGGACTACCACGGCCAGCCAGATGCCAAGAGGCATCGAGGCCGATCACGAGATGACGAGGCCTCGCCTGGCCGCTCCGCACCTGGGCCACCATCTCCCAAGGATGCCCATCCAGAGCCTCCCTTTGAAAAGAGGAATATCTGAAGAGGACGAGCACCACAACGGCGAAGCGCCCCCCGCTAAGCGGTTGGAAGAGACCCACCCCCGACCCCCCCTGACTAGGGGCGAGTCCCTGCCTGCCGTCAGCCTTTCCGTGCCCTTCGCCGAGAGGGCCTTCAAGACGGAGCCCAAGCTGCCGCCTATAAGGGCTCCCTCCTTCGACACGGCCACCTCCTACAAGGCTAATGGTGAGTATTTTTATTTATTTAAAATTCTAATTTCATCAAGTCCAGAACAGATTATTTTCTAACCATTATTTGCTTTGGAAAAACGCAAAGGTCATAAAATCGATATTTGTAGCTTAACGATCCATTGTTGAGGGAGGTTTGTTTTGCAGCTTGGAATTTCCAGACCGGCAGAGGCGCATATTACGCCGCCCGGTGTGTGTGCGTGGAGGGGTTACCCCCCTCCCACCGCTGACGTAGCCGGTCGATAAGGGGCAGTCTAGTGTAATCCACCCCTTCCCCGTCCTTCGGTGCTTACGTCACCCCGCGCATGCGCCGCTCGATACTCGCGCTCCCCACCCACCTGGACCTGCTTACGTCACCGCACGTAGCATGGAGCATGCGCTGGTCGATACCGGCTCACGCCATATCCTCTTTTTCTTTAATGGGACCTTCTATTTACTCCTTTCCGCTGCCCGATCGTAAATTACCCTTCCCCTGTTGCCTCCTTCGCCTCCCTCACTACTGTGCCTATCGATTTTGCTTGAATCTAAAATTCCTAATTCCCCATTTTTTTTATGTTTGTGAATACAATAATTTAATTTATTTTCTTATTAAATTGGGTTGTCGAGATCAATATTGCGAATCTATTTGGAAATATACTTTATTTTCTTTGCATTTTAGTATATTGTAAATTTAACTTAAATTTCAATTTTTTATGTGAAAGACATTTTTAATGTGTTCATTCTTATATTTAGTAGTATTCAAAGCGTTAGTTTAACTTATGATTGACTTAAAATTCCATGACTAAAAAAATTAAGTAGCATCTTAAAAATTATATTTTAGTGTGATTTTAATTCATGTTCATTAATAAAACTATTCCTAGCAAAAAAAAAAATTAAAACAAATAAATAAATGCAGAGTAGACATTTACGGTTCATTATTTTTGTTTGTAACTATTGATTTATTGTGAAAGGGTATTTTTAGAAACATCGTAAATTTTCAATTTAAAAAAATAATTATTTTAATGCTTTTGTAAGGTTGGCTCATTTTCGGGCACATTTATCACTTTTTTAAACGTTTCATTCTCATACAAAAAAAAAAAAAAATATTTGATATAATTTAAATAGTTGTTTTATCGTCATTTTATTTATTTTTAGCAGCTGTTAAATGTTATGCAGCTTCTAATTCCGGTTCAAACCAGATTTAATTTAACATTGCCTGAGACGTTCCACTCCAAATCGACATTTTAGAAAAAAAAAGTTTTTTTCAACCATAAAATCTTTCAATCATTTGTTTTCAAATTAAACATGTTTAAAACACAAAAAAAAAGTCTACATTTTATTTTTATTCTTTAAAAGCCGCAATGCAAAAAGCTGTTGTTCCTATTAAGATAAAACTTATTAAAACTGAAATTTAATTTTTTTTTCCATATAGAAAATTATGATAAGATCTTTAAAACAGAAAGTTTTCTGTAAGCTCTGTTGCAAATTAATGGCTTAGGAATAACGTTAAGTTGGATATATCTTGAAACACTTTAAAAAAATAGTGTATATTCACTTAAGTATAAAAAAAAAAAAATTTTGTTAAAATGCCGGACTTTATTTTAAAAATATATTTTTGTGTGATTATTTATGTTTTTTTTTAATTTTTATAACTGATTTTATGAATTTAAGTTGTTATGTCTACTAAAGTTCAGAAATTTGATTTACGGTATTTAAGAAATATATGCAACTTATGTATTCAACTAAAGTAAATTAAAATTTCGTTTATATTTCTAAAAAAAATTACTTTTAGATACATTTTTAGAATAAATGGTAGATAGCATTGAAACTTATGAATTTAAATTTACGAAGCTAGCTATGTTTTTTTTTTAAATTTATTTTTATTATTATATTTATATTTTTTTATCCTGACTGATAGCATTACATATGGATTAACAATTACCGATTTCTGAGTCTTTAATATCCAAACATTTGTTTAGTCGTCTTGAATAAATCACCTTTTTTTCCCTAAGAAATACTGTAATTATTCAAAAAATATTCTATTATATATTCGATAAATACTAATATAATAAGTATATTTTTATTTTAAATGATATTTTCAAGATAATAAAATTTCAGTTATTTTTAATGGAAAACCATAAAAAAAAAAAAAAATAAATAAATGTCTTTTACTTATATTTATATTAACGATTTACCTTCTCCGATACCATTTTTAGTGAATTTGATTTTCGATACTTAAAAAAAAAAGTTGCAATATTTTAAATCTTGTACCTTGATACCACTTGATTTCAGAAGTGGTTGATGTAATAATTTATAATAGATCCATAAAGTACTACTACAGGGTTAACAACCATTTTATACCTTTATCACATTTGATACTATATTTATTTATTTACTATACGTATTTAAGTTGTTCCATTAATATTTTATGTCTTACGACCTCTGCAACAATTTTAATACTATAATTTAATTCGACTGGGTCACTATCAATTTTTATAAAACTATATAATTAATTTTAATTTAATTAATTATTTAGATAAATTAGTTAGTATTCCGTTTTGTTTTTGAGAAAACCCGTTTTTATTCTAAAATAAGTACATTAAATAATAATGTCAAAAGAATTCATCCATACTATATTTAAAAATATAATAAATAAATTTAAAATTATATTATTATTCATTTTCTTGATTTTCAATATTCAATCTGTATATTATTCGAAACAATTCTAATGAACTCCTATTTACAGCGGAAATTCCACAGCTAATAATTTATTCGTTTGTTTTTCTTTTATTACAATATTTAAGTGAACAAAATCCTGTACTTAACGATATGCAATACTGACAGAAAAATTATTCTCTAATTAAAATTTTTTTTTTTACATTTTATGGGCAGCGTAAAATTGAATAATTACTTAATACTAAACAAAAATGCATTTAAGATCTTACATTGCTAATAGTTTCTTACGTATTAAAAAAAATAATGTTCCACCTTTTAAAATATCTTTGAATAATATTTAAAGTTATGAGTTGTGTTAAAGTTTTAGAGTTCTGAGAATTTAAATGACCTGGGTTCCATTTAAAACCCCAAGGATCCAAGCAAAATACCCCATTTTGGGTTTTCTACCCAAACCCTTTAATGTTGAGCATCATTTAAAAAAAAAATATATATATTTTTATATATTTGAGATTTACTTGTGAAGTTATGAAAGAACAAAACGAAATGAGCCGTATTGTTTCCCAAGCAGTTATGATATTAAATAAATTAATTTTTCATTAATAATCCTAAAACTGAACTACTTACAACAAAGTATACAGAAATTTAATTATTTGTTTGTATTTAGCCTTCAAAATGGAGCGAAGATTATTGATCATATAATTTTTATTTTTTATTTGAGGAATTATTCTTCAGTAATAACGATATATAAGCCAGCAACGTTTTGGTGCAAGTTGTTATAAAGCATTTTTACAAATTTAAAATTATTGTGGTTATATTTATCTTAGAAAATAGTAAACATAGATAAAATAAACTCGTATAAATAAAAGATAAAAGGTTTTCAAAACATTTTTATTTATTTTTCCTAAGCGATCTCTTCGATCAGTCCTGATGAAGGCCTGAACTTCGGCCGAATGTTATCTTGATTAAATTTTTTATTATGATTAACTAACTTTTTGTCAAAAAATACATACCAGGTGTCGAAATTATTGTTATTCGAAGACATTTTGCTCATTAATTCGAAAGAATACATGGGTATTGATTATCGTAGGGTCGAAACATAAAAATGATTAATAAAATAATTAATTGCAGAGAAATAACTTAATTGCACTCTTGCATCTCCTTTCTATGCTTCAATTCATCTTTATTTTTTTCGACGATGTTTCAGGCAATTTTGCCTATTTTCAAGTCGAAATCTTTATACCATTAACCTATTATCTATGTTATATTATTTTTTATATAATTGTTAGAAAATATTTTTTCATTTTTATCCACACATTCCTCCCATATTAATTTCATAACTATTTCTGAAAAGTCCATTCTTTGGATACGTCACACCAATTAAACATTTTTATTTTTACATTTCCATCGAATGCTATACATTTTCGTCCTATATAAATATATATATATATCTACATGTAACAAGCATGATTAAATAAATTAAGGATGTTAAAATTTCATATAATTAATGTAATATAAAAATAACTTCATTCTAGCTTGTGGTACAAATTAATAAATTGACTTAATCTAATTGGGGTTATAATTCATGAAATGTAAAATTAGATATGACTAATACCACCATCATAGAATGTAACGTTGCATCAGTGTATGATATTAAGTGTTTGTCTTACAGATGGCTTACTAGCCGCCGAAACGTAGCCTATGTAGATGTAAAAGTGAAATAAATGTAGTGCAGTAATAAAAAAACACAGCTTTATTTTATAATATAAATATTATATTTATTTTACACAAAAAAATAAACATTTTGATATGTAGATTTACGCGTTTAATAATTTTTTTTTTTATAAAAGAAGTGAACGTGAGGCACCTCAATTGACCTAACCTAACCTAAGTTGTTACGGATAGTAAAGATCAGATGTCTTCTATATGTCGACTTTCGGACATTATTTTTTTTTCGGGATTCCATACACTAAGCGATCATGAAACCAATCGCCATCTTGGTGTAGCGATTCAGAACTAATAATATTTTTACTTTCCAACGTGCGTTTTTTAACGGATCTCTACGTTTCAGAGTACTCCGATTTACCACTTCATTATTTTTTAGTATGATGGCGTCTTTGTAATGACCTATGATTAAAAAATTGTATTTTGGCGTGATGCTGAGTTTGGGAGCCTGAGAGAGGAAAAGATAGCCCCAAAGAGAAAAATTATAACGTCTGTTTTGAATATTTAGATTGAAATATCTCAAAATTTAAATACCATGAATAATTTAGAAACCCATTTGCAGAAGTCAATTTAGATTTTTTTTCTACTAGTCAATAAATAAAAAAAATTAGTATTTCTACT